ATACTATGTTGAATCCAGAAATAAATAAAAAAAGGTCAGTAAACACCATTAATGATTAAAAGTTGATAAATCACACACGCAACTTTTCTGGTTTTTCCCTCACAGAATGGCCTCATCTGCTGCTGAGAGCTACACATTTACACAAACAAAATGGTCTGTTTTAATTAACAAAATGCCACAGACATTGTGTCAGTTCCAGTCATAGGCCCAAAAACCATAATGTGCAGAGGTGGCCAGCTACATGCAATAAGGCCTACAGTCAGTTTTCAAACTGATCGATCACCTTGACAGGTCAGGTAGTTTTCTTCAATGCTTCTCTTATTCCTCCAATTCGGAGCTTATAGGCTTGCAGTCCTCCAAATTGTAAATTTGAAGGCTTCCTATGACACAGAAAATAAGTTCACCTGTTCCTAATTGAGAGTTGCATTATTGGTTCTGAATGGCCTTTGACAAAAGCAGTCTTTAAGAGTTGGTCAGGAAATAAACTCCTCTTGTAGAAAGGATTCTCCTGACATGTCTCACGGTTTATTGAACCTTTGTTGGTCTATCCTTCCAGGCCGACCTCCATCAGACTTCCTAAATGATCGAGTCTGACTATTTCCTCCTTTGCCTCCAACTGACAAGGTTTCTGGAGGGCTTTATCCCCTAACCATAAACAGACAATAATTATTGGGCGAACAACTGATGCTATAGTTGTTTTTAGTAGGACCACTTTGTACAGCAGGTCTACATAACTGTAGGACGCATCATGAGCATCTGACTTTTTTTTAAATAAATTCAGCCGTCTTCACATGCTGCATAATATACATGACCTGAAGCTGAAATTCACTCTTCAGGTGCTTTCACTACATGTAACATCAGTTATTATGGTTTGGCCTTCCGCTCAATACTGTGCCTGAAGGGACCCTGTGTAGACACAGTCGGACTATTTAACCTGCCGCTCTGTTTATGTGCTCACTTTTACTTCTTCGTCATAGTCATTCTACGTGCTGAATGACTCAGTTTGATCTCACCAGGGTGCTAAATAAAAAGTGAAGGGCTCACCAAAGTCTTGAGAAATAATCTTATTGACCTTGCAGCAATTATTATACTGAAATTGTAGTCCAGACATTAAACTCAAAATCCAGATTGCAACGTCATGGTGCAGCTAGATGAAGTCTAGATCCTAAGAGTCAGCAGGATAATCTATGTAGTAGAATTATAATTTGTATACGTATGAAGATATTTCAGTGTTGACCACTGGACATTAGCATCCATAGAGCCATAAATGTGGTATGTCAATGTCACAATAGCATAGACTTTGTACTACTCTCATTATTCTCCAGTTCATATAATGTTGGGATATAAATAAACCAATTTAGAATAAAAAATACAAGTTGATAAGAAAGTGAGAAATGTGGATAAAGCTCTAATGACATAATGCGAAAAAAGTAGAATTCTCTGTTGCTATCTCTGCGTGTGGAGGATTTGTCCACACAGTAGCAGAGAACAAACAGCAGTGGGAATTTAACTCCCAGAAAAGCTGTCGTAATCACTCAACACTAATAACCAGGAAATGAAAGTGGACACCACATTAACCCAGCGCTGCAGTGGAACGTTCAGCTGCTCTCTGTCAAATTACCACATTAGTCCTAATGGTCACGCAGCGCTCGGATCGTACTCAGCCCTCAAACTGTCACACTATAGGATCAAAAAACTCTCTTTATCAAAAACACTTGTCTGGTCCAATGCAATCATGTTCTTGCTTTTGAAAACGTTGACTTCATCTGGGTGTTAAGTTTTAATATTAAAATGGTTGGACATTGTATAATTATTTAACGATGTGCCTCAAACTGTTATATAACTTTTTTTGTTGGTTATTTTAGGATTTATGATGGCTTTGTTATATTTGTTATGCCTTTACTGGTAGCACCTTCTGTGCTTTGCTCGTATCCCATTGCTCTGTTCACTACATGATAACAAATTATTAATAATCTGCATAAAAAAGCAGTCAAGGAGGTATGAAGATAATTTAAGGACTCATGTGATGTGAAGAAATGTAACTCCAGGAAAGCTCTACCTGAAATAGAGGGAGGCGTGTGTGCTAGAAGATGATCAGTGACCCGCTAATTAAATTAGTTCATTAACCTTGAACTTCCAAAAATCGAAATCTTCCAGTCAGGCTCTTAATATATCAAAACATTTAAAAGTCAGAGAACTTGCAAGCAGGCGAGATGGCTGCCAAGACTTTCCAGGAAGTACTGTCAGCTTTTGCGTGACAGATTAGCTTTTGCCATTTTAATTCCATGTGACATTGTCAGGATGTCAACAGGGATTAAAAATGAAGACAACAACAAGAAGGACAGAAGTGGGCATTTTTTAAACAGTGGGTTGTGTGCCAGCAGGCTGCCACCCAGTTTGAAGAAAAACATGAAAGAAGGCCTAGATGCCATCCCTCAAGTGCAGGCGCAGCGCCAGGGGGTAGTTTAGAGTTGCTATAGCAACTCCAACAATTGGCCTATAGCAGCGTTCCTCAAAGTGTGGGGCGCGCCCCACTGGTGGGGCGCTGAGATGTGATAGGTGGGTCGCGAATGGACGCGATGAAGGGGAGTTTTTAATTTTAATTAATTTTATTATTTTTTTGGACCTCAGACCGGAATCGAACCTGGGTCCTCGCGGGCGTTAGTTTCACAGCGTCGTATCCGCCGGAGCCTCGCAACGGCGAGTGTTTGCGGCGGCGGGTGCATTACCGGCGCAGCGGCGCTGTGAAAGTCCACGGCCCACCTATGTCAGAGCCAGCGGCCCACCAAAGGCAAAAAGTCCCGAATCTCCCGGTGGCCAATCCGAGCCTGCTCACACACACACACAACTGAAACCAAAAAATAATTTACAGCGTTGCAGTTGGGAAGAAAAGCAATGTGGAGCGGCACCTCACCACTTCACAAGGAGTTTAACTGTGACACTTTTCGAAATCCCGTTTGTGTCGCCCCACTTTACAAATAGGCCGATGTTTATTATAATTTTTGAACGCAAGCCGTCATCGCCACGGAGGAGCACACAGCCTCTGTGAGCGAGCGAGACAGAGAGAGAGAGAGCGAGAGAGCTAGAGAGAGCACACATTTATCTATTTATATAGCCTAGGTGTAAAAAATAAAGTAAGAAATCATTCCAATGTGTGGTATAGGACAGTAAAAAAAAAAAAAAAAGGTTTAAAAGGGGAGTGATTAGTAAAATATGCATAAATAAAAAGAAAGAATGCTAACTAGGTAACATAAGATAAGAATAAACAAGTTTAAATGATTTGTTATTGGGTTTGATCATATTCTAAAGATGTTTGGATTATTGAAAAGTATACAGGCTCCCTTTCAGTGTGTTCAGAGGCTGTTATCCATAAATTCATTTTTTGCTCTAAGCCTTGCCACCATATTGAGGCCCATTCACTACATTAAAAAAAAAATCTTCCCCGGGGGTGGAATGGGACAGAAAAAGTTTGAAGAAACCACTGCTATAGCAACGGCTTAGCACCCATTGTTTTGTTATTGAAAATTGTATCTATATATATTTAGATTACACATCTCGCGAGACTATCAGGGCGTTGTAAGTTAAAGCGCAACTGCTTACTTGGAATTTGTATGTTATAATTCTAGGTATGTGAACACAGATCGGAAATGGTCAGTCATAAAGTCAGCGTAAACAAAACCCTGGTCTCCTAAAAATTACCTTCCCACATAACTAAACTGATTCTCAACTAAAAATTCCGTGTTTTTGTATCTCAAATACGTTTATTTTCTACCATATCTTTGCCATTTAGTTGTCTTCTTATATCAATCAATTAATCAATCAATCAAATCAGTAGGCAGACAATTAATAGTTTAACATGCCAAAATAGCTGCTGTTGTCGTTTATTGCACCTTCAAACGGTTAAAACAAATCCAGAGCTAGTGTTTCTGTCTTCTCTAAGGAAAGAAAGGACAGTAACAGAAGATCTCTGTGACGCCAGATGTGAGTGTTGTTATGCAATATGATATCCGGAAAAAAATCAGTTTAGGATGCCGAAGGACACTACACTTCCCATAATCCCCAAGCTATCGTTTGGGACTACCGTCCCGTTGGACACAACCCGTGATTAATCTCCCAAGCTCTGGGATTGGATTTGGAGTGGCATTGCGCCAAGGTCACGCCGAGCGTCAAGCTCTTTCAAATGAACGAAACCACGGCAGGGGACTATTCAAAACTGGGAACTCGAACGCCCCCCGAGAAACTGCACATTGCTGGGCTATTGTGTTTTGCAACATGTCTCTATGGCACGTTCTCTACTGGGAATTGTTAGTTTTAAAAGACCGTTTTCGTTTCTTCCCAAAATTAGAAGTTGACAACTGTGTACAAGCCCTGGAGGTTTAGTGCGATATGAAACAAATTGGTGTGTACAAATTTAAAACATGTTAATTACTAAATGGGTGGAAATCGCTTGTATCCATAATGGGCAGCATTAATAATACCCACATGACAGCACATTGTACTTTGTAATTCTTTTAACTCCACTCAATTCAGAGGTTAACATGGTATTTTAGTCACTACCATTTATTTTTAGTTACTTTGAGGATTCTGATTAATGATGTTGAAATAATAAACAACCCTTAAAGCAGACTTTAGTTACACCTGAGGTTAAAATCAAAAGGGAAGGTGATTGTCAAGTGCCAACAATTAGGAGAGATATATGATAGGTTGGTGCTTGAGAAGGACTAAAAACATGTTTTATCTGCAGAGATTAGCTGAGCTAATATTATATATTTAATTAACTCGTTATTCTCTAGTAAAGTTAATTAAAAACTGTAAATAATTGCTATTTTGCACATCCCTTTAAATATTTCAAAGATTTTCTAAGGTTTAATTGACATATCATATACACAACTACGTTGTGGCAATGAATGAAAAACTTGGGTCACAGGTTCCTCCAAAGTGGCATTACAATACATCTATCAATATGTGTGTACCTCACCATTAAACTGTTCAAATTCTGCACATTTCTTATACTATCTATATACATAAGAGTATAATTTAATGTGTATAATATCAGTTAAAATAAGTGCTTCAACATAGTTAGCACTTGCAGGAAAGCAAACCTAATATTAGGACGTTAAGTACTTATGTGCAGGCTGTAATATTTATCTGGTAGATAGAATACCCCTAAAGCTTTTTCTTATTGAAAGAAGACCTAACCTAAGTATTATTTAATGTGTTAATAAAGGGTAATTAGTTTGTCTGTTTTGCACATCCTCCTATTAATATATTTGTAGGCTACATCCAAGCACTAAACTGTTTTATTGTAGAGATCACTTACAGTATCTTGTTGATTTTTATATTCTATATTTCTATTCATTAAACTTCTACTTTCCCCCTATAAAAGTATGTACTCTTTAATATTTTTTTTCATCAAATTAACATTATTCAACAAAAATTAACATTATTCAACAAAAATAAATTCAATAACTGCTTTAACCACTTAGGCGTGCACACAAAGTACACACCAGCATACTAATAATAACTTTGTTATAAGTGTAGACACTATGTATGTAATAATCTGGAAAGTAGGGATGCAAATTATCGATTAATTCATTAATCATTAGTTGATTGACCTTATCGAGTCGTATTAACGATTAACTGATATAAAACGGCTTTTTCCTTAGGAATGTAAATTCTCACTGTATCGATAGTGTCTTTAACATAAAAAGCT